TTTGACCATGAAAGTAGCCCACTTGATTCTTATTAAGTGTTTTCTCTCACAGGTCTGGGAGCTGAGGAGACCAAGAAATTCTGTCCGCCTGATATTGATGTGTCATGCCACTATGGACGTAACATCTGCATGGTGTCAGGACCAGCCAAGTCCATGCTGGAGTTTATAAAGTCACTGCAGCTTCAAGGCATATCCACTACACAGGTGAACTGTGCCAACATCGCTCAACACAGCAAGCACATGTCCTCAGCTGGACCTCTCCTGCTCAAGTATCTGAAGAAGGTAAATTGTGTTGACTGCTCAGGGAATGTAATTATGAAACTGTGGGATTGGACTGATTCTTTGGTACATCACAGGTGTCATTTGAAGAAATTTTTAGTGGAATGTACTGGCTCTCAGGATGGTATAGTTTTAAGAATCTTCAAGAAGAGAGTTGGCTAGTTAGTTATTTATAGTAAATTACTGGATATATTTTGTTGAGAAAAGTGTTCATTTGTGGGCCTGTGTGAATGGAGTTGTGATCCTTCAGGTTCTACAAAACAAGTTCATGAGCTGCGTAACTCTCAGCTTCTTGATGAACGCCATTCACTATTATTAGATAAATAGATTGAAATATTTATGTCATTAATTTGCTTGATTGTGTCTTGGTAATTTATTTAGAAACTTGTTAACACATCTATTTAGTTCAGTAATTATTTTTCTAATATGTCAATAATGTTTGTGTGTGTAGCTGATCCCGCATCCAAAGATTCGATCTTCTCGCTGGGTGAGTTCCTCAGTGCCAGAGAATGAATGGAACTCTCCGTCAGCAACTCACTCATCAGCCGAGTACCACACGAACAACCTGCTTAGCGCAGTGCTTTTCGAAGAGGTATCTCGACACATCCCACGTAACGCCATCGCCATCGAAATTGCTCCACATGGTCTCCTGCAGGCCATCTTGAGAAGTTCCCTCAACAAAGGCATCACCAACATTGCCATTACACAGCAAGGCCACCCTGACTGCACCGAGGTCCTCCTCACTGCTCTCGGCAAGTGCGTATCTTCTTATGTTTGGGAATGAAATTTCTGATTGGATATGGAATATTGTTGTTTAACTGAGTTTTCAGTATTCAATAGCTTTTACTGGAAAAATGGATTGGAAAATTAAACATTTTAATGACCCTACTTTAGCTGTTTTTAAGCAAAATTTAGGCTGATGACATCATGGAGCAAGTCTTCTTAAATTTGGCATGAAATTAGATCATGAACATAACAATAAATTCTGTATGAAAAACTGTTTGTAAGTCACCAACAATGAAAATGATGATTGTGCACATTAATGAGGTTATGTTGACAAAATTATCATAGACAGTCTGTAGTTAATGTGTTTTCCCAATGATTATAATTGGAGGCAGTAATATTTGTGTTTTGCTTAAGATTTGGTAAGATTCATTTGTAAGATGATCTGCACTGAAGACCTGTTTGCTATCCAATGCAAATTTTAGCAACAGAAACTGAATTGGGCATTGAATATCTTATCTACTTGGATTCCATTCTGTGTGTCTGCAGTTTCACTGCACCGTTCTAGTCACGATACGTCGCTTGTGCTTGATATCATAAGAAAATAGTGATTTCGCTGTGGTTTCTTCAAAATGAAACATAAGTTTATTCTGTTCACTGTTACAGTTGATCATTTATTTCATTAATGTTCTGTTTGTTCGCATATCACAATCTTGATTTTGGATGCCAGACTTGACACTTGGTGTAACTTTTATCTTCTTATGACTCTGCTGCTCTCACGGTCTTCATCACTGTCAGCAGCTCCACAAAATGGCTTGCTGTTTGCTTTGCAGGCTGTATGAGCTGGGTTTGCAACCACAGCTGGCAAACTTGTATCCACCAGTACAATACCCAGTAAGCAGGGGGACCCCAATGATTTCACCGTTGGTCCGGTGGGACCACTCAGAGGACTGGTACATCATGTACTTTACAACACAGGTAACTCCACTTCTAGACTGTGAGTAAAGATGAATGTTCTCTGCAAAAATGTATACACAGGAGAATATGAAATGTTGCCACATCAGACTTTGAAACAATGCAGTATTCTCTCTATATATGGGCAAATACGATGGTGTGTAGATGATGTCAGAATTCTAGTCTCAAATCATTAATGAACATTTGCATAACTCACACCCTGGACTTGACTGCACAACTTTAACTGCAATCCAGAAACAAAACCTGTTATAAGTGTTTTTAGTTTGATTAATCATGTGCCAGGTAGTTTGCTCATATTGATGATGCTCTTTTGTGTTCATCTCACGTAGTTTCTACATGTCTGTACCACTGAGGTGAAGTCTCAGAAGAAAGGTATTACACTCACATTCCGCTAAATGTTGCCATCTGTATAGAGGCATTAGCTCAATTTATAAATGAATAACTAAGTAACTTAGAATACATCTGTGAACAAATTTTTGCTACTATTTGGCTACTACAAATTTCAGGCACATGGAAGTTCTTAGAAACATTGCCAAAGGTTCCCCATGTGACCATGTTTATAACTCAAAACATGTATGATCTGATAACATTCCTATGATCTGTGTGAAATCCATTTTTCATTTGCTAGACTTGAATTTTGTTAAAAAGTACCTAAATACATATTTTACTTTGTTGCTCTGTTATTGTTTTATGTTCAGCGCTGTTTATGCCAGTGAACATGTAGAGTCCATAAAAATAAGATAATGTTTTGACTGAGTAATTATTTTTCTCTGAAGGGACTGTGCTCCATGGAGTTGGTTACGGCTTTATGTACTTGCTGCGTATTATAATTGTGTTACAGCCCACAGAGAAATCCGGTGAATACTCCATGGTCATCAGCTTCCAGGATGAATCAGTGGAATATTTATATGGACATGTTATCGATGGTAGAAACTTATTTCCTGCCACAGGCTACCTTGTGAGTTTTATTACAATTTGTATTGTTAATCTATGTCCTGTTTACATGATTTATTAATACAATTTCATATTTTTCCTACTGCATAGTAGCTAAATATGCAAACCGTTAAAGATGATTTCTAACAGTGACTGAGATATATCATTTGCTATAAGATTTTCAAAATAGTTTGTTTGAACTTTTATATGTGACTGTTTATATAATTACTTGTGTGCTTATGTAATTATGGTTAACAGAAAGAAAAATTCACAGAATTTTCTAATAACAGATGATTTCAGCAGCAACGAGTAGTGTGCAGATATTATTTTTCTGTACAATAGCAATGTTTCACTCAGTGTTCTTGTGAGTTACCAATAATTAAGACTGACTATTGTAGCAGTGGAAACAAATTAGTTCTAAATTGTCTTTAATTATTTTGATGCAGTTTATCTAACACAATTAAAGATCCTGGTGTTGCATTGGATCATTTAAGACACAGATATTGGACTCACTGCCAAAGAGTAATAGTTTCAGCAGCTTCAAATGCATTCTAACATTCAGTTGTTATATTTACAGATCTGCTGTAGGCATTACTAACGAAGAAAGCAGATATAACACTGAAAAATGACTTAAAATAATCTCACTTGTATTTCATTGAATATATATTTTGTTAAAATTGCATGAATTAGTTTATTTTATGTAGATCTCTATTTTATGTCATGAGTCAGTATATTTTTCTGTAGTAAGCCAGGCTGGTTACGGACTGGATGACCGAAGTTCGATCCCTGATGGGGGCAGAGGATTTTTCCTCTATCCTCTGCCTCCAGACTGGGCTCTGGGGCCCACCCTGCCTCCTATCAAATGGGTACCAGTGTCCTTTCCTGGGGGTAAAGCTCAGCTGGAGCATGATGCTAACCACTCGCCCCCACCTAGTGCCAGGGATAAGAATGAGTAGGAGCTGTACCACCTGATTCCCCCTCCCCACCGCACACATGGCGTATAGTGGGACAGCTTTGCTTTTTATATAGTTTAAATAATTTTGATGTATTTACGCTCTGTGCTTCAGTGGCACCACTAATTTAATGAGCATTTTACGCAGGAACTTGTGTGGAAGTCTGTTGGGCTGATGACTGGACAGGTTCATACAACTGTGTGTGTGGTATTCGAGGACGTTCGGTTTCACAGGGCTACAAACATACCGAAGGAAGGTTAGTATAACAGTAGCGCCCATCATTATTTTTAGTCCGTGTGGCTGATATGAATGGTTGATGCTTACATTTCTTACTCTCATTTCAATGCGTGTAAACTCTTCTAGTCCTCCTGTAAGGCAGCAGAACCTGAACAGCAAAGGCCAAATGTAAGCCCAGAATGAAGATGGCTGTCTTCTGAGTTATATCACTCTGTAGTCTGTGTAGAAGATTACCAATATTTCAGAGGTTCCCTTCACAGCGGTGGCCTCTGAAACTGTAAACTTCTAATTAACTACACAGTGCACTAACCCAGTAAATAGCCATCTTTGTACTTCCTGCAACAGAAATCTTAAATCCTAATAAGCCCAAGTTCACAACTGAAAATCATGAGATCATGTGTAACAGATCTTTTCTACATAAATCTATCATTTTATGAAGTAGTACACAAGGCCTTTGACTGGATTAATCTGGCTAAAGATAGTATTTTCTGTTGTAGGTTGTCATGAACACGGTATTGAAGTTGGGATGTCATAAAAAGCTGACAGTTTATTGACTAGCTGAAAACTATGTTTTGACAGCTTATTGAAAGAAATTTAGTTGTGTTGTTTTTTAAGAAATTGGTATACCTCCGCCCTAGGAGGAAACTTTTCTTGCACGTCTTGTCATGACACATTCCAGTTCTTACTTCAGAAAAGTGTTTTACATGATTAACCTACTGCAAAATGTCCTCAATGTTAAAATTTAATTGTTTTTTCACAGGAAACTTAGAGTTTATTGTCATGATCCAGAAAGCAAGTGGGAAATTTGAGATAGTGGAAGGTAACACTTCAGTTGTGAGTGGTTTGGTGAGATTGCCTGCCAATGCCTCTCTTGAAATGGTATCACTGGAGCCCCTCAAGCCTTTCATTAATGATGAGTTGCTTGAACTTTCATCACGAGATATCTACAAGGAATTGCATCTGTCTGGATATAACTACCAAGGACTCTTCCGTGGCCTCGTTTATGCAGACAACTATGGTGGGTATCACTATGAATTACAGGAGAAGTTTTAATGTACCTGATGTCCTGTGTTTTGTATTTGTGTTAATTAGTAGTCGGTACTTCTTAGATACTCATGTTTCTGTAATCCTTGAGAAATGGACTCATGTTCTTGTGACATTTCTTATCAGAAATAACTGCAGAAATATTAACTTGAAGCATATACATAAATTTATCAGACATGCTGTGTGAGACACGAAGATTTCTTGTTCACTTTAGGTCGAACAGGAAAGGTTGCCTGGAAGGAAAACTGGGTGGCATTCATGGACAGCTTGCTGCAAATGAAAATCATTCAGGAAGACTCAAGAGGTCTCTTTGTTCCAACCTACATCCAGAAGCTCACAATAGATGCCAAACGACACGGGGCTGATGTCCAGGAACTATACATTAAGAATGGAGATGTTGGTAAGTTGGTTGGTTCTTATGTATACTCTACTATTCCATGTATGTGAAGAATACCCCATGGCTACAGTCTGTCCATCTGTCAGCGTTCATGCCAAATCTGTGTTCTGCTATAAAATAATGCGAGAACATCTTAATTATTTTCATGAACATTGATAAGAACATTGTGAGACTGAATGTCATTTCAAACTCATATTTTCTTTAATTTCCTGCAATTTTTAATACCAATTTTGTTTATGCCGAGACTTGTGACATAATTATGTCATTACCGAAGATCCTCTGATGTCATCAGCTGTGATGTTCATCTGTATGCAAGTAACAGTTTGAAAATTATTGGCCTGACAGCACCTTACCCTTTCAACCTGAAGGTCAGGGAATATGGTCTACTGTAGCGTATAGACACACTGGCGTAGAATGGTGTTGCTGCGGCTGCCACTACTGCCTGACCCCATCTGTTGCTCTTCATTCAAGCCGCACTCTGTTTTATCCACATTACAAGTGTATATTAAAACAAGTTATATGCAAATCAGTTTTTTTAGATATAGACTGGATGTAACTCCTACAGTATTATGTGCAGTGATGACCTCTGTCTTAGAGTTGTTGAACCTGTGTGTTCTAACACCTAACACTTGAATTGTACCAATTAAATTGCAGTACTTCCTACACTTGATGTCAGTTCAGTTTCTTGTCTTGAAATTACTGTAATTGTTGACGCTTGTTGTGACAGTGCTTCCAGTGCATGTGTACAAGGAGTTGGATATCATCCAATCAACAGGAGTAGAAGTGCGAGGACTCAAAACCAATGCCATAGCTCGACGCAAGGTCCTGACCAGCCCTGTACTCGAGAAATATGTCTTCATTCATAATGTAGAACCTGCGCACCTTGATTTGCACGGCGCACTGAGGGTGTGCACTCACATCACTCTGGAGAACAAGCCTGGCACCCATGTAAAGGTGGTGGAGCTGCACGACGAAGGCACTGCACTTCTGTCACCTGCCGTGGCCCTCATCATCGCAGATCTTCCACTTATAAAGGCAAGTGTAGTAGTGTGTAGCGCAGAGTCAGTTAACAGTCAGCAATGTTGTTACCTGTACATTGTGCACGTGCGCAGCCATTCACTTACCATTCCCTGTGCGCATGACGAGGTGCATTGCCTCTTGTAGTGATGGATCTCAGAGAACCAGTGATTTCATATAGAGTATTTACTGGGATGCAAATGCTTCACCAGTGGTAAAATGTGGAAATATTCTAGTTGAAGATGTTATTCATTCAATAAAAATAAATGCTTCCATGATTTCTGTACATGGCATTTATGATAACTTGGCTCCTGGAAGTTGGCACAGCAAAGAATGTTGCCTTTGAATCTTTAAAATTCGAAAACTTTGGTATAGAAAAACAACTTCTGGATGTAATGTGCAAATACTAATTTCTTACATTTTTGTTAGATGCAGGTACAGGATTTTGTTGTTCACAGTACACATAAAAATGCAGCTTCAAAATAATCCAAACCCTTATGGGACATAGGAATTGTTATGTACACAAACAAAAGAACGTCTGCAATTTGCTGCACATTATATCTTATCCACTGCTCATGAGAAATTTCTTCATTGCTGACATCAGAGACAGAGAATATTGGCAAGTACTGTTCACTGCCTCTGTTGAAAGCTGCATTAAATGGAAACAAGATAATTTTCTCCATTAAAGAATATTCCTAGTTCTTCGGTAACAGACATTACTGTTCATTTTCATAGCTGCTTATGGTATATTTGAATGCAAAATACACATGGAACCAAATTGATTTCTGTGTATGGGAAGAGGAGATTTAAGTCCTTATAGAGCGGGGCTGCCTGCCACATATTAACGCTACAGCTAATAGTTTAGTTGTATGCTTCCATGACACTTGACCAGCTGTTAGGCTGATTTTGAAGTGTTTTGCTAATATTGTTTGAAACTTATGACTGAAAGAAACCCGTAAGAAGACAGTGGGTTAAAGAACACCTGAACATGTTTCTGTGCTGTTGTATTTTACAGGCAAACATTGCAATCCTGTCAAAGGCCAAAAACCTGTCATGGAAAGACTTGAACAAGACGGAGATCAAGGTCGAGGAACATGAACTAGAGAACGAGCAGAACTGTACACTCGTTATCGCATCGAACGTCCTGCCCCACAGAGAATTGCTCCAGACCGCTGTAAATGCCCTGGCTGATGGGGCCTGCATCCTGACTCGTGAGAAACTGGAAACTAAGACCCCGATCACCAGTGGCATCAGGCTCGAGGTTGTGTTTGAGAAGACTCTCAAGGATGAGAAGTTGCTCTTGCTCAGGAAGGTAGTGGCACCAGTCAGAGTTTTTCTCAATAACTAACTTGCACTTAGTATACCAAGTTTTCAGTCCAATCATATGAATGTGACCTTTGAAAAGTATATCAATTTGTGCTTTTAAAATGCTGGAAAAGTGATAAATTGCACACAATTGATATGTGGCTTTAAATAAACCAAGAAACACTAATTTTTTTCCACAAGGTGAATAATAAAAAAGAATTCCAGTCGGTCCAAAAGTGAATTAAGGATCTTTGGTTAGGTAACTGATTTCATGTGGTAATGTATTGTGTTCAGGAAGTGTAATGCCTGTTGCAGGGAGTGGTCGTGGAAAATCCAATTGTGATCCATGTAACAACTCACAACTATGATTGGCTGCCGCAAGTACAGACTGCCATCGGTAGTAACTCCAAACGTCACATTATTCTTGTAGCTCAGGGTGAACCACTCAGTGGCATTGTGGGTCTTGTGAACTGTATCCGCAAGGAGCCTGGATGTGACTTTGTTAGGTAAGAGACATTGTATTTGAATGAGATTTGGCTTCCACACAGTTGTGGAGATATTCCTGTGGGATGAAGCATAGTCAGGGCATGAGGTTGAGTGCAGGAAGGAACTGTCCCTCCTCTCTCCCCTGTATGCCTACACGGCACTTTCTTTGATAGCATTTTATTCCTTTGGAATCAAATAAGCAGAAGATTCATTTGAGTATAAGAATTATGTAAGATTTTACATATTTTTCAGGTGTTACTTTATTCCTGATTCCTCTGCACCCCCATTTGATCTGAACTTTCCACTGTACCAGCAACAGCTGAGCAAAGATCTGGCTGTTAATGTATACATTGATGGAAAGTGGGGGTCATACAGACATCTCCCCCTGGACAGCTGTGCTACTGTCACTGTGCCACACGCCTATGTGAACATCATGACACGAGGAGATCTCTCCAGTTTCCGGTGGTTGGAGGGAAATCTGGACATTGACAGGTGTGTTTGAGCTCCTCTGTATGGTGCCGTGGTTGTTTTGAGTTCCCGTATGTGGTGCTGTGTTGATGTAAGGGACGAAAAATAACTGAACATAAAATTAGATGTTACACTTCCCAGGAAACTCAACATACGAGGTCACTGTTGCGTGTATTTGTTCCCATATGCTTACACACAACTGCCTGTATGCATATATCCCATTTAACTGTTGAATCAATTGGCAAAATTTAGAATGAACAATAATGCTCTGGAGGCCACCCAGTATCCTACAGTGAACGACAACAACGTGCAAACACATGAGGTGGGAGCAACACTTGCTGTTCTTGATGTAGTGTCCAACTTGTATGGTACTTAATATATCTTTAAAACATGTGTATTTTTTAATGCAGTCTGGTCGATGTTTACCAACATTTCACAGGTTATACTGCTTCTGTCATCAGGACGATTCAGCATCCTCAACCAGACTACACAGCGCAACAACCCAGAAGACAGAAATCATAACACTTGATGTAGTGTCCAACTTGTATGGTACTTAAAACATCTTTAAAACGTGTGTAGTTTTTTAATAGAATTTTTTATGAAATATAAGAGAACAGTATTGTGACCATAAAATAATTGTGATTTATCTTTCAGTTTGACGGCACTAACTAATGAATCATATGGGGTACTACTATGAAATACATTGTGAAAATATATGTAAATGTACCTACAAATTATGTATGAAGGTTTGTTGGGAAGTGAACAATTACAAATATAACAATGATTTTAAACTTTGATGTTATTTCTGACAAATTTGACAAGGAGTCTGTGCTTCATTAAAAAAAATTCCTCCCATACCAAAAATAGTAATAATATAATTAATAGTGGCAGTAGTTATGATGGCTGTAATGATGATTGTAATAATAATCGATATGTAACATATTTACTTCTTAAAACAATAAAAAGTTACTGATTTGAATAGGATTCTTTCCTATGATCATCAGCTCATGAACTGAGCACAGTAGTCCATGAGAAAAATGGCATTCCAGAGTTTTTAACTTTTGTTATCTAAGTATAACAACAATAAGATATTTGTATGATTGAAAATCTGTAATTGAAAAGTAGGCTTTATGAGTTCTGGCCATAACTGCTTGTTTTTTATATCTCAATTACAGCTTTGTGTTGTAGAAGTAGCTAAGTAGAACTAATAGAACAGGTTACATTCAGTCCTGATGACACTTGTCAAACTTAGGATACACAGCATAAGTTTGGCTCTGGAAGGTGCTGAGAGGACAGCTTTTGTGAAACTAAGTTGACCTGTATTACTGTAAAATATCAGCTAATAAGTTAATCAGTCTTGAGTTTAAGTCACTTCATTTATTGGAACCAGATTTATGTAAGTTTAATATGTTACAGCATTCAGACGGAACCAAATGAGGAACTGGTGCATATTTATTACTCTGCTGTCAACTTCAAGGATGTGATGACAGCAACAGGAAGGCTGACTTCCAAACCTCCTAAGCGTCGGCTGAATCTGGTGAGAATAGATCTCGTGCTTGATGCTGAGAATCGTAGATAATGCTAAAGCAGGCTATTCTGCCCTCTGTCATAGTTTTATGGATTAAAAACCCACCAAACATTGCAAGCTACAAATGGACACTTTGTTCATGTCACCGATTATAATTGAGTGAATGAGGAACGGTGGTGGAATTTTACTAATAGGGGAAACCAAAGTACTGGGAGAAAAACCTGTCTCAGTGGCGCTTGTGAACCACGAATTCTACATGGACTGCCCTGGGATCTAACCCAGTCCTCCATGTTGAGAAGCCAGTGACTAAGCACTTGTGCTATGAGCATGGCCTTTTACATTCTGTATCGTCATTTACTTAATGCATTTCTGAATAAACTACAAATAAGTCCACTCACTTAACATGATAGCCTGAGGTTCAAAATTACTTTTCTTGGAATACACATGTCCATTTCATGAAATATAATTTTTGCTTATTTTGTTTCGCATGCCAGTATTTATTTGAAATAAATCAATTTAAATTAAATGTCTGAACTCTGAAGCTGTTTTTAAGGAATTGTGTTGGTAGGGCTGTGTTGAAGGGCTGGAGTTTTCTGGACGTGACCGGAAAGGGCAACGAGTCATGGGCATGGTTCCTTCTGGAGCCCTGGCCTCCATGGTGTTAGCAGACAAGAATATGTTGTGGAATGTGCCTGAGCACTGGACACTCGAGGATGCTGCAACTGTGTGTTGCGTCTATGCAACAGTGAGTTCCCATGAAATTAAATCAGAATTAAAAAATGTTCTCTTTATCAGTTGGGGTCTTACCAATATTTGGTTTGATTTGTGGCTCTCATCATATTCCACATATTTCAGCTTATACTCTGGGTAGGAAATACTCATCACCCATTCATTTGGTTTCTTGGTGCGTCCCAGAAGCAGTTTGCTTTTGGTAGAAAACAGAAAGCAGTCTGGCCTTGCCAGGAATCAATTTCTCTTCATCCAGTCTCTGGCCAGTTGCTTTAATGTCTTTTTTGTGTTTGAAGAAGCCAAGTCATGAAGATAGTTATTCAATTTATTATAGCATCCGTCCCTCAAGCTAAAATAATTATCCACTTTTATTTCTCTGTATGGTGTGATAATTAAACAAATGTTTACCTTACATTTTCTACATTTACGAAGCACCTAAAGCAAATTTAATAGAAGAATAAGAATTTGATGCTTTGTTTTGCTGTTGACAGGCTTACTATGCGCTTGAGATGATTGGTCACATGAAAAAGGGTGAGTCGGTGCTGATCCACTCGGGCAGTGGGGGCGTAGGCCAGGCAGCCATCAACATTTGTCTGCACGCAGGTTGCACAGTGTTTACCACTGTCGGTACAGAGGAGAAACGGGCCTTCATCAAAAAGCAGTTTCCACAGGTATTTTAACAGCCATTTTTACTGTCTGAAGCTTATTCATCCTTATATAAATAAATACAAATGGGAGACTGGCCATGTTAATTAATGACATAGTTGAACAAAAGCCAAACTTTGAATTGGATTGCAGACAAATAAATTGGAATTCTTATTTCCTCTGGATTGCTGAATAAAGAAATAGCACTTTTGTTAAAATTGGATGGAGTACACTGAATTTCCTATATTAGATTAAGTGAAGAATAATTTCTATTCTAATGCATTAACCTGATAGAAGAATTGAAAATGCTTGACCTGGGAGATATTGTAACGTGGGACGGCATTGCGACCCTGATTGTCAACCCTGATTTATTCGCGTCAAATTAAATCAGTTACAGAAGTCTGCACATACAGTCATCTCTCTGCCACAACAACAGTATCCCAGTCTCTGTTCCCTGTACACACACACACACACACACACACACACATACTCTCACATACTCTCACTCTGTCCTTCGAGTCTATCTGGTCCCCTGAGCTCGGCGCTCTTCACACTCTTAGCTTACACATCGGCCCGTAGCACCCCACTGGACACATGCTATCTCCTCGGCCGCCACGGTCCATGTACCCGGTGCTCGCTCACGCAGCCGACCTGTCCTTACTCAGCGTCGGCCCGTAGCACCCCACTGGACACATGCTATCTCCTCGGCCGCCACGGTCCATGTACCCGGTGCTCGCTCACGCAGCCGACCTGTCCTTACTCAGCGCCTCACCAGACCTCTCGTTGGCTTCACTCACTCGACTCCATCACACACTTCTCTTACGCTCTGTTCTTTCCACACTCATTTTCCACACTCTCCTTCTACACTCTCTCTACACACTCCATCTACACTCTCCTCCTATACTCTCTCTCAACAAACTCTCCAACAACTATTTAACACTCTCCTTCCAACACACTCTCCAGTGGGGTGCTATGGGCCGATGTGTAAGCGAAGAGTTTGAAGAGCGCCGAGCTTGGGGGACCAGATAGACTCGAAGGACAGAGTGAGAGTATGTGTGTGTGTGTGTGTGTGTGTGTGCAGGGAACAGAGACTCAAAGACTGTTGATGTGGCATAGAGAGTTGACTGTATGTGCAGACCTCTGTAACTGATTTAATTTGACATGAATAAATCAGGGTTGACGATCCGGGTCGAAAAACCGAAACACATTACAATATATTCCCCTCTGAGTCCTCCCAGTGAATGTTTTAAGTTATCTTATGCACATAATAACAATTGTTGATATGCTTTCTAAGAATATTGTATCATATGAATACAGTTTCAATGCTTATCAATGTATGTCAAAGATGTCAGTGTATGTGAGATTTTAGCCCCTCATGAGGGTGATATGAAGATGATTCTTTTCTGTGTTGTTGTACTGTCTAGTGTCTTAGAAATTTTCTCAGATTTCATAGGTGTTTGCTGCATCTGTTATCAGGGTGACTGTAAGCACGTCTGTAATGTCTGACGATTTCAATCAGATTCGAGATGTGATAACCCAGAACACAGTCATCTTCATGTCAAAATTATTTTCTTATCTCCCAGCTGTTGGACCGCAATATTGGGAACTCTCGAGATTGCTCTTTTGAGCAACTCATAATGGCTGAGACACATGGTAAAGGTGTAGACCTTGTTCTCAACTCCCTTGCTGAGGAAAAGCTGCAGGCCTCGGTACGCTGTCTTGCCCCTCGAGGACGATTCTTGGAGATTGGAAAATTTGACCTTCAGAGCAACAACACTATTGGTATGAATCTAAGTAACAAACTGATACCAAGGATTCCTTCTTGGGAAGCTTTAGTATGCTCGGAGAGTTGAAAAATTCTCAGGCACCCCAAGCATTCATTAACATCTTCACAAGTCCTCTACCACTGTTTCCTCTCCAGAGCCAAATTACATAACCTCAACACTTGTATCTTTAAGGTCTGTGATAATGGTACCTTTCCACCATGTGTAAATCTTCCGTTGTTCCGGCACATTTCTTTGAAGTCACTGCTTTTACCAACACTTTATCTTGTTGTGCATGTCATATACTGTTGCTTGTCTTTATGACTTGATTTATCTGAGACTGAATCCAACTTGTAGGCATGGGAGTATTTCTGAAGGAGGCAAGCTTCCATGGAGTCATGTTAGACCAAGTGTTTACAGCATGTCCTGAGCTGAAGAAGAAGTTGTGTGACATCATGACTGAAGGCATAACTTCAGGGGCTGTACGACCACTACCCAGGACTGTATTTCCCACAACTGAAGTGGAACAGGCTTTCAGGTTTGGTTATGATGGAGACAATTTAATTTTGTGGGAGAACATTGGGTAACTATACTATCATTGTCATCAGTAATAATAGCTGCACTAAATAGACCCATTGACCTGTCAATTTCCACTATAACCTTCTTTTGTCAAACCATATTTTTATTGATACTGCAAAATGCCCTTCTCCTGTGGACTGTCAGCCACAGTAATCTTTTTGGTATAATTTGTTCTAGTGTTCCCACTAGTAATTCCTGTACTATGAAGATCAGATGTAGTTCAGACAATGGGCAGTGACAAACATTATGCAGGATTAATAAATGTTCTTTTCTTTGCTGCAGCAAGTGCTTTTAATACTCATTTTCAGAAATTCTGTAAGTGCACGGATGTGTCACATATCATATTAGAATTAAGTTGAATTTGCATTGACATGTGAAGTACATGCTGCAGGTACATGACATCTGGGAAACACATAGGCAAAGTTTTGCTGCGTATCCAACCAGAGGAAGAGACGGAAGCAGCTGTGCCTGTACCGCTACTCATGCAGGCCTATCCGCAATACTTCTGCAAACCCAATTCTACCTACATCATTGCAGGTACTGAGTTTTTTTATGTTGCTCCATAAGAGGGTTCAGTTATCAGGGGTAAACAGTCACAGTTACTTATTCATGTGGGAGTATCTAAGGTGTTTTCATCACCCTCCATCAACATCGTTATGTCATCCGCAATATTTCCTGCCACATATTACTTTAAAGTTAAAATGAGAATGTTGCAAGTGAGGAAGTGGTACATCTTAAACCATTTTGCTCCATATTGAGTGGTTGTAGAACAGAAACAAAAGTGTTTTGTTGGCAACCTCGGATGCACAGGAACATAATTTGGTTTGTACACCCACTTTCTGACCTGGACTTTAACAAGTATGGACAAAATTCTGCACACCCTCCATCGGCAAGCTTGTTTTGATGACTGCTTTTGCTGCGTGTTTCAGATGGGTTAATTTTATCAATAACTCGCTAAGTCACCCATATCATCTATGTAAGTGTTTTATTTGGTTCTCAGCATTGGAAGCAAAATTTCTTCCAAAATTTATCAAAAGACTCAAACTTTTATTAGTGATGTGGTGTACTTTCTTAGAGGTAGGATCCAAAGTATTAAATTTGTATGTTGCCACTTGCAGGTGGCTTGGGAGGCTTTGGTCTGGAGCTGGCTGAATGGCTTGTGTCACGAGGCGCTCGTAAATTGGTGCTGACATCTCGTAATGGCATCAAGACTGGCTACCAGAGCTTACGTGTGAGAATGTGGCGCAGCTGTGGTGTAACGGTAGTCATCTCTCTGGCTGACATCACCACAAAGAGTGGCGTTACAGCTCTACTGTCAGGCGCAAAGAAGCTGGGGCAAGTCGATGCCATATTCAACTTGGCTGTGGTGAGTGTCGAAGTTGTTCAGCTTCAGAAAGTGCATAGAACATGCAGTAAAGCACCTAATGAACTCCTTACGATGCTAATGCGTCTAACCGTTTGATTGATGGGTAATAAGTGGCAGTATTGCTTCCTTCTGAGGCTCTGTGAGTTTTTGTGTTCTAGCATTAACTTAACGGTTAATCAGGGCATAGGAGAAGAAGGTAGAGAATAATACCTGAGTAGGAGTAGCCATTGGAAATGTTTCACTGCCTGTTTTGATACTGAAAGAGTCACCCGTGCATTATTGTAGGTGCTGCGAGACAAACTCTTGGAGAACCAGACTGAGGCAGACTTTGCTGCTTCTGCAGGACCCAAGGCACTTGCAACGCATCACCTGGATGCGCTGTCTCGCCAGATGTGCCCACACCTGCGTCATTTTGTGGTGTTCTCCAGTGTATCATGTGGGCGTGGTAATGCTGGGCAGACGAACTACGGCATGTACAACTCCGTCATGGAGCGTGTCTGTGAGGCCCGTGTCAGAGATGGGTTGCCAGGTCTTGCTGTCCAGTGGGGCGCTGTGGGGGACGTGGGGTTGGTTGCAGAGATGCAGGAGGAACAGCAAGACATTCAGATAGGTCGGTTGTGCTTTTAAAATATGTTTGTACACCTGATTGCAGATTTACTGTGTGCAGACTTAGAGTACTGCTGTATTTTTGATACAAGATATGCTAGTGTTTAACACTTCTTTTGTACTTGGTGTCCGTGTCATTATTTGGATGTAATAATAGTTCAGGTTTCATACAGAGCAGTTTAAATAATATTTTAAGATGTGCTTCTGAAATATATTGATATTTCAGCTTACTCTGAATGGTGAGCTCTTGAATAAAATCAGCAAGTAATGATTTCACGTGTGCTCCTCACTTACTCACCCCAGCCCCTGACACTACCAGAAGAATTGGACAGTATCAGTCTTCAGGTAGACGTTCTTCTGTGACCAAGCAGTTATATGAATTCAAAGTAAAATCATGAGACATTCAGATGGTACCATAAATTTAACGTGGAGGCTATGTGTCTGAGCACTTTCTTGTGACCTTTTCTCAATGACACACCTGTCGCAACCCGTTCTGACATGTCAGATCTTCTGTGTTGGCACTAGCAAACTGTTCTCTGGCAAATGGCCCGGGATTCCAGTGGTGTGTGTGCATTTCAGAGGGCTTAATTATGTAGAAGAAGTATATTATACAAAGTATCACACATTCTACTTCTTAAATGTTGGGGGTCTCAGAGACATGGCTCTCCTCATTTGTTTTCTTCTTAATACTAGGGATTGCAGAAATGGCATTTGAGGAGTGCAGAAAAATAGGAGTTAAGTTGAAGGAAAATGTTTAAAAAGTAGTGGACGTAACTGGAGGAAAACAACAGTGACTCTTGCCTTGGCTTTTTAAACAATGTTTTGGATCATATCATTTTGCTGGGAATAAATACAGCCTTGTCTCTGTCTAACATCCGAATGAAGAGGAGAAGCTCTCAGAAAAATGTTGGTCATCTGAGTAAATAACACTTTGTGGAGTTGCAGGAAGACAAACATGTTTCTGAGGAACATACTGCCTCCATCCTCAGGGTACTGACACCTGAGTGGAGTTTCAGTGAATTTAGCTTTATTCTATAGTTCAAAATGGATCAAAAAGTGATAGTGGAACCACGGTTCCGGAGAATTTGACTTAAATACGTCTTCACACACCTGAGTGGAGTTTCAGTGAATTTAGCTTTATTCTATAGTTCAAAATGGATCAAACAATATTGATCACTGGGTATTTACACTTGAAGTTTTAATGTGTATTGTAGGTGGCACCCTAGTGCAGAGGATTTCATCATGTCTCGAGGTGCTTGACAGATTCATGAGGCAGACATGCCCTGTAGTGGCGAGCATGGTCGTGGCGGAAAAATTTGCGAGAACTGGTGAACATGCAAGTGTAGTGGAGTGTGTGAGCGGCATCATAGGTAAGTCCAAAATGGCTTCAAATGTACTGCGATGATACTTTTCAGCAGTTCACTTAAGTACATAGGAAATATAACAAGAAGCAATGGACAAACAGCTTAAAAGTTTAGCAAAATTTAACGGATGGCTGTGGTGGTATTAGGTGTAGAATATGTAATAATTAGAAGTAACAGAAGTTTCCTGTTTTTGTCTAGAGTTTTCTTAAAGTAAACTGTATATTAAATGATGAAATATCTGATTCATTATGATAACCTTAATGACACAATATATTCCCATGCTTCCACATAATGATTGTTTTACGCATCAACATTTTTCATACATGGATTATGGATTTAAACCTTGCACTTGAGGCTGTCAACTAGACTCTAACTCCTGGATTAAGAGTTTAGTGTGTACTAACGTGACACGTAGCTAGATGCATCGCATGTAGTTTGTGGTTTTGCCATTCTGGTTGGAGCATCAGTGCATGGAAGGCCTAAGGTTAATGTTGGAACACATTGTTGTGCATCAAAGGCCTTAGTTGACATTAGTGCTACAATCACCTATGTGATATGGTTGATGTACACCTTTCGAGTGTCATTGTTCTCCAAGACCTACACCTTTCAAAATATAGTTATAGATTTTGTTTTTATTACAAAATATCACTTATGATTACATACAGGCCATGCTAGAGGCAGAAAAGTAGTGAAAACTGGATGAAATGATTTTATGAATAAGAATAAAAATGTAGTTAATAAATCTCAGGCTGTCTGTCTTCAGGGTCATATCATTGGTTTACAAAGACTCCTCCATCCAAGAAATGTACCTTTAAATTAGAACTGGTTTCTTTCACTTGAAGTCCTAAGTAACTTGTGTTTAATAATGAACAAGGATCTTAAATTGATTAGTGTTTAAAATGAGATAAATTTTTATTGCAGGTATCCGTGATCTGAAGACCATTAGCCCAAATTCCACACTGGCAGAATTAGGGATGGACTCCATGACAGCTGTGGAGATTAAACAGTCACTTGAGCGAGATTTTGAATTATTTCTCACACCTCAGGAGATCCGAAGCCTAACATTTGCACGTCTCGAGGAGATTGGCGCAATAAACCAGGTCAATGAGGAGGAAGAACCGTCATCTCAAGGTACATAACTGCTTCTTCAAAATGGAAAATATTAATAAGGTTTGTCAAGTAGGACATAACATTTATGGGGGCAAAAGAGAACGGCGTTATGCCCATCCAAGTTTATTTATCCCTTCCTTATGTAGAGGTAAGCAACCTGCATTGCCTGAATTTATTGTTGTGCAACAGTTGAAATGGAGGTCCCATTGTTGCAACATGCTGGTTTTCCAGCGGAGGCCTCATGTAATATTAGTGCGAGGCTGACATAAGTTGGATCTGTGACCTTGAATCACATTAGTGCAAGAATGACCTTTGTGGTCTGGCATGAATAACACCTTTGGATCATCATCATCATAATCAGCTATTTAGATTTTAGGCCATAAGCCTGTTCCTTTGAATTCCGAGGTAGATGTTCCTGGTCCTTCCATCGACCTTTTGGTTGTCCCAGGTCTCTGCATCCTCATGGTTGGTAACGGAATGCCCATTTTGGGTGCCTATTTCTGTCCATACATTGCAATTTGTCTTTGTGATTTTGTTGATATTTTTGAATTTCTTCAACTGTATTTAGAACGTGTTTCTTTTCCTCTGATGGTAAAACCTAATAGTTGTCTCGAAAAGCGCATTTGTGCAACACCTTTGGAATGTGAGTATAATCCAAAGGGTTTATCTGTTGAATCTTGTTAAGCAGGTAATCAGAAATTCTGATATTGAAAATGTGAGTTCACTGTTTTAATTTTTGTAACCTGTTGTGTTTGCAGCTGCATCTCGTGATGTTGAAGAATATCTTGAGATACAGCAGTTTCTGCTGCAAGTGTTAGGGAACTGCCGGTACGTAAAAGAGGCTGCTGTAATCTCATTAAATGAAAACATTTGCACAGAGTATATCAAATCTAAAAGTTCTTGACGATGGTGATGAGTCATTTGAATAAAAATTTTCTTGGATATTATCCATAGTCTAGTCCGAAGATAGGGATTAGCTCTATCTAGTGGGCCCAACTGAGTAGGAACCTGAAGACGGAGATAGAGCCCCATCTCCGAAACGTCGTTTTACGTTTTATATTTTACTAGGCGATGGATAATATCCAAGAAACTTTTTATTCAAATTTCCACGGAGTGTTTGAATTAACTTTTAGAAGTAAATGTTATTGTTTGAAGTTGGAAATATCTAAGTCGCTGCTTTTAACAGAGTCCTTGTCGATATTTTCTTAGCTGATCAAGGAATTACCCACTTCTCAGAGACTCTCATAATTTACTGCCATTTTGTCAAGTACCTCTTCTGAGTCAAATAAATCAAAGTTATGTTTTTACAGACTTTTCTCCAATAATAATTTTAGCATTATTTTTCTGTCTGTGCTTGTGTGTCGCAAATAATGCTCTTTCATGTTGGTTGTCTTATCACATCTCTGTATTCATAACTCATTTACTCTATCAATACAAGGCTTACTGTTTACCTTGTGACCATTATTATAATAACCTTGACAGTACAAGGTAAATATAATACAGAGGAAAGGTTTAATGTTATATGTTATTAACATGAGCTGTCACAGTGACCCACTTGTTTGTCTTGGCAGCACATACAGAGCCGCCTGAAGCCGCGTGCTCCATTCACTCTGCTGGGCTACTCATTTGGTGGTCTCCTGGCTCTGGAACTGGCACTTAAACTTGAGAAAGAGGGGCGGGAGGGGAAGCTGTACCTACTGGACAGTTCACCAGATTTCATGAAGGCGCTGGTGGAAAAAACTGTTGGTAACAATGAGGATCAGTTTCAGATCAATGCCATATGTAATATATTCAGAACTGTTTCACCACGTGATGCCACATCAGCAGCTATCACCAAGGTACTTGAGGAAGAATTTTAAAATGACAATACTGTTATTTCTCATAATTAATTTTTCATTTTCTTACAATGCCTTTCAGTAATATGTGCTTCTTAAGTGTGATTAATATTCACCTCAGTATTTTCGTGGAATCTATGCCAAGTTTATTTAATGTTCATCTTGTACATATTGACAGTTGGTTCAGGAGATCACACCTCTGAAAAGCCGGGACGAGAAGTTAGATCACGTCATCAGTAAACTTCCTGTGTTGAGAAACAATGCCGATCACTACAAAGCTGTTTATTTGTGTGTCTTGGATCGACTTAAAACCATTTCAAACTATGAGTGGGACTACAAGGAAAAGGTCAAGGCTGAAACCACCCTTCTGAGGCCTGTTGCAATGGTAGTGAAATTAGAGAATGATTATGGACTCTCAAAGGTGAGTATTCACTCATGCTTTATTCTAAACAAGGTGCACCCTCTGGAATTGTCAGTGTATCAAGATGTTAGCTGTGACACTGAATTATGTACAGGAGTAAATGGTCTTAGGGGAAGGTCATTTCCCAAAAATGGGTCAAAGCACCGTAGATCATGATGAAATAGACTTACAGGCTGGCGCACATATAAATAAATAAATCATACAATGACCTGACATATTCTTCAGTAGCAGTAATCGTTAAACTAAACGATGTGCTTGCTTCGTTGTCCACAGAGAGAAGTGTTCACACTCTCAGCTGCCCAGTGGGTGCATAAGTGTACATGTTTGATCTTGTGTTGCAGTGTTGTGAGAAAAAGGCAGAGGTATATTTTGTGGACGGCAACCACTTGACAATGCTGGACAGCAAGGATGCTGCCGCCATTATCAACAGGCAGATTACAAATA